AGGGAGAGGGACAAGCCAGCCCCTCCACCTAGAGCTTCTCCCAGGGAGCACCTCACCACCCCCCTTGCTCTTAAGGTATTTTTGTGAGTAATGTTTTCACCATGCTACTAATTAGCCTTTCTTGTTACCGAGGCGCTACTCTTACCTCTTCACAGTGGGTTGTGTTCATTTGTTTAGAACATTGCTCTTTCTCATACATTTGTTGGTTAACAGACCTTTCTTATTATGGTTTATGGGTACTGCATGGACATTCCAGAATAGTCAAGCACATTTGGGGAGATTTGGAGACTGGTTGGAATAATTGTTAGGGAGGAATGCAGATGTTCTGTGTTCTAAGTGGGCTTGTTAGCCAGATTGGAAATTACTGTTTATATCTCATTCCGGCAGCACAGAAGCTTGCTGGATTGGAATAGTCTCCTTTTCTTCTGCTGCTACTGTCAAAGCCCCCAGTATGCTAGAGCCATCAGTTCAACAGCTCTTTGTTGCACACCAGTTATCTGCAAAGGCTCGTGCTAGCAATAAGCCACTAATTCCTATGCATCCTGCAAAGCCCAGCCTAGAAGTCCCTGCCTCCTGGAAGCCTCCTCTGATTGCTGCCACCACCACTCTTCACACTCCTAGAGTTAATCCTTTCCCTCCTCTGAGGGGCCTGTGCATCCTGTTTGGGCAGATGTTTTGTACTGCTCTGTAATTGTTTCAAGGGCCGGCCTCTCTTACTAGACTGTGCACTAAACCTCTGAGCCCAGGGACTGTGTCTCCCTCATGTTCATATTCCCAACTCCCAGCGTAAGGCTTTTAATGGTCATTTGTGAGGCCATGAATGAATGAGTGAATGAATGAGAACACCTTCAAAACCAACTTGTGTGAGTATTTCTTGGAGGTTTGAATGAAGATGCTTCTGTCTGGCTGGAGTCCCTTTCTCTCTCCTGGGCTGTCGCAGCAGCTGTCTGTCTCTCTGTTCCCAGGACTGTGGGTCCTGCTGCTCCTCTGCCCAGAAATCTCCAGTGGCCTCCATCTCACTTTGAGGGAAAGCTAGAGCTTTACTGTCTGCCTCCCGGACCCCATCGCCCCCTGCGTCCCACCCACAGCACACACTCTGCCCAGGCCACCGGGATGCCACACTGCTCCTGGAACAGACTCCTTTGTCAGAGCCTCAGATCTGGGTTCTCCTCTGCCCGGAACATTCTTCCTAGATACTTGCATGGCTCACCCCTTTACTTATTCAGATCTTTTCTCAAATACCGCCTTCTCAGTGTTGCATTATCTGGACACACACACACCCCAACCGGTCTCGCTTCATTCTTTTTTTTTTTTTTTTGAGGCAGGGTCTTGCTCTGTCACCCAGGCTAAAGTGCACTGGCATGATCATAGCTCACTGCAGCCTCAAACTCCTGGGCTCAAGTAATCTTCCTGCTTCAGCCTCCCTAAGTGCTGGGACTATAGGCACGAGCCACCATGCTCGGCCTCACTTCCTTTTTTCTGGACCACCTGTTGCCTTTTAACGTACTGTACATACCTGACTTACTCTGTTTTGTTTTTCTTTCCCCCTTCCTGAATGAAGGCAGGGGTTTAGGTTCCTTTTGTGCACCAAGTGATCTCCCCGCCAACGGCCTAGATTGCACATAGCAGTGGTGACAGCACGTGCATCGTGTGACATATATATCAGGCAAATTTTCACATCAAGATGAATTAAAAAATGGAGGAGCTGAGATGCAAATCTAGGCAGTGTGAGTGCTGAATGCCATGCTTTTCTGCCTGTCACAAGTATTTGCTGAATGAATGAATGAATGATTGGGTGACTGCTTACGGTGAGGAGGTGAGGTCATGTGGTGTTGCCACTTAGCCTGTGCTATGGTTGAACAAAGCAGAAGACCTGCAGCCCTCTGAGCACCCAGTGGTGCCGGCACCTGCGGGTGAGAAGAGGCTGTCACAGGACTTCCGCTGCAGTTGTGCCCGCAGCAGGTAGGCCCGGAGGTGGCCGTCATAGACGTGGGTGAATTATCCTATGTAATTCAGGCAACTCAACTTTCACCTCTGGACCCTGGCAGTGAGTAACGGTCAACCTTGGAACACTGTCTTTAGCATCTCAAGGTGCCTTCTTACCGGTCACCCCATTTTTATCTCTCCGGAATTACATAAGGCACGGAGGGAGGCAGATGGTATGTCCTCGTTTTACGCATGAGCGCAGGCAGAGAGGGCTTGGGAGACAGCTGTGAATCCCCACAGCTGGGAGCAGGGGCCCAGCCGGACTCCCAGCTCCCTCCTGCCGTGCTGACCATGAGGCAGCCCCCTGCGGACTGCTGCATATCTTGCCCACGGGTCCACGGAGCCAGTAAAGGGAGAGGCAGGACATACTCTGAGAGCCACCTGCCTGTAGAACCTGGGGTGGGTTTTGCTTTGCTCATTTTCTTGTTGCCTTTGGCTCATTAAAAGTTATAGTATTAAAAACACACACACAAAAAGCAGCAGGGAAGACCCCTCCTGTTTGCCGCTCCTGCCAGCCCCTTGTGCCAGCGCCGCACTCACTGTGGTGCTCAGCGCCCCCAACCCCCAGCGTGCAGCCCTCCTGCTCCTGCTGTCACCCTCCACGTGACCGACAGGGTGGGGCGGGAACCGTTTCCTCTGTCTGAGCTCTGGGACCCGAGATGACCGGCCAGCTCCCCTATACCGGGTGAGGAAAGGAAGTGTGCGGAAAAATAAAATATTCCAGAAGGTCACACACTGGAAGGTACATTTCCTTACCACTCCCGACCCTGTCACTCCATTTCACTTCTCAGGGAAGAGAGGCTCTTGGAGCAGCACATGCGTGTTCACACGTGTCTACGTACCTCCTCCCCAGAGCTTGCCTCAGTGGGAACACCACGCACCGCCCCACTCTGCTCCCCTTCTCAGGACGTCTTGGAGATGTTCCTTTGTTGGGTCGTAGAAACCTGCCTCCTTTTTTGGTATCATTTGTCGTTGAGCAGCTATCTGTTCAGATACAACCTTCAGGTTGTCCTGAGCCGTTCTGACAGTACTACCGTGCTGTCCCTGCCACCCTGTGGGGACATTCTCTGCAGGTATCCCCATGTATCTGTGGGGCCAGTTCCCACAAGTGGCGTTCCCAGCCAGGATCCTGAGCGCCACTGGGCTCCCCGAGGGCTGGCCTGCCCCACGTGAGTTCAGCACGGCCCTCGGGTGTCCCCCACAGGCAGCGCCGCAGTAGCCAGCTCCGGGTGTCAGAGGGGCCCGTGTGCCCATCACTGGCACCTGCTCAGGATCACGGCAGGCACAGCTGAGATGAGAGGCCGCGGGTCAGAGAGATGTCCCCACTCGTCTTCCTGGCCACACGGGTGGGTCGTCACGCTGCCCTCGCTGCCTCCTGGCCTCTCTGCCCAGCCCCAGGTTACCCTCGGCTGGGTCCCGGGGGTGACTGGCTGTGCCCCATGCTGCGCGCCCCCCACGCCTTCTTTGTAGGGGTGCCGTGTTCCTTGTCCCACCTCGTGCTGCTCAGGCTGTTTCTCTGGTTGTTCGGGTGGTGGTTCGATTGTTCTACAGCAGGTCCTTGGATAATGTTTTGTTCAAAATGTAAGCCATTTTGTTGTATTGTCAATGAGAAAAATATATATTGATTCCTGGCTGGGGCCGCTGTTGGTGTAGAGTTTGCACGTTCTCCTTACATCTGTGTGCATTTTCTCCAGGAACTCCGGTTTCTCCCCACGTCCCAAAGATGTGCTCGGTTAGGGTCACTGGCGGTCCACATGGTCCCAGCCTGAGTAACTGGGTGGGTGGGTGGGTGGGTGTGTGTGTGTGTGTGTCCCGCAATTTGATGGCGTCCTGTCCAGGGCTGGTTCCCACCACGCGCTCTGAGCCGCTGGGACTCGTGACCCTTAACTGGAATAAACAGGTTGGAGAATGAATGAATATGAGGCCTGTCCGGAAAGTATCCATCCATTGTTAGTATACGGATTCATATTACGTGGCTGGATACTTTCCGTACAGACCTCATGATTTTACAATAAAACTCTGTAAAGTACACAACGACCCCGTGTTAGGGATGTAAGGCGACCAACAGTGCACTACGGAAGCCCTCGGTGACCCTGCCATGTTGATTGTTGGTGAGTGATGGCTCGTGAGGAGATGCTCCTGACTATTCTTGCTTTACGGACATTCGTTCCCCGACTTAACGCACCACCCCTACGGCCACCGTCACTCCCTGCCTCTCCAAACACTGGATAAGTAATCACCCTACTTGTTCTTATTCATCTTTCTTGAAGGTGCATACAGGCTCACCTTTATTTCAGTGTTTAATAGGAGAAGGGTTTGGGACCCTTGTGTAAAAATTCGATGGTGCTTGTGTGACCACACACATGCCGTGGGAGCTTAACTCTGGTTTGTGTCGGCCAGCCAGTGGTGAAGTGGGTTTTGTCGTAGTCGTTCTCTGAGAACCTGTGGATGCGGCAAGTGAGGACTTGCTGGAGTTGTTCTCAGCCGACACGCCCGGAGTCCCTGAAGGACGAGGCACTGTGTCAGGTGACATCAGGGACACCTGCCGGCTCCTCGGTGTGACCCTTCACCTCACGGCGTCAGAATCTTGCCATTGGGATACAGCGAGCACTCCTGAAGCAGTGTCATGTTAGGGAACTGCCAAGTCAGAGTCGACACGGTGTCTGGATTCAGAGGTGGCCTGAACATGGGCCTTGAAGAACGAGGGTGATGACGGCAGGATGGCAGGCGTGGCACTGCGCACACGATAGGCATTTCCTCTTTCCCTTGAGCCCTGTGTGAAAGACACTGTTGTTGTCCCCTCTTGTGGCCGAGGAAGCTGGTGACTAGAGAGTTTGAGACCCGGCCCAAGGTGGTGGTGGAGGTCAGCCTCATTCCAGCCCTGGTCTAAAATCCCCCCTTCCCTCCACCATTCTCCCTGCATGGTGCAAGCCATGGCTGGGGCCGCTTGGCAGGGCTGGGAATCCCCAGTTCTGTCCTTGGTCCCTTGGCCAACAGCTTTGTTGTCGTTCTAGGACTTTTGCCACGGGCAAGTGATGTGGCCGCCCCTCAGCGCCCTGCAGGTGAAGCTTGCCGAGCCCGGGCAGTCCTGCAAGCAGGTGTGCCAGGAGAGCCAGCTCATCTGCGAGCCTTCTTTCTTCCAGCACCTCAACAAGGACAAGGACATGCTGAAGTAAGTGCCTTGGGGCGGGAGGCACGGGACAGGGACAGCTTGCCTCTGGGTGTGGCTTGGGCGAGTGGTACCAGGTTTCAGTTTCCAGGCTTGCGGGCTCTGGGGACAAGGTGTGGGGAGGGGAGCAGGACACAGTATGCTCCCCCCAGAGAGAATTAGCCCAACGTTGTTGCATCGGGTGAGACAAGGTTGCTGTATCTAGAATTTGAATGGGGGGGTGCTGTGTGTGCGTAAACAGTGCCATGTCTGAGCTTGGAGACTATGGGAGGTGTTTGGTTTGCTAATGCTGGCCCCAAGAACAGTGGGAGTGGAAGTGGCCACAGAGCCACAGACAGACCCCTGGCAGCAGCATGGTCCCTAGGTGGCCACCAGCAAAGCCTGAGCAGTTCAGGGGACCAGTGGCAGTTTTCAACCCTAGAGTCAGAAAGGAATGAGAAATATGTAGAAGGAGCTGGCGCCAAACTGCTCACAACAAATGCCATGTGCCGCCTTCCCCTCTGTAGCCCTATTGCCTTTTGCACTTTCTTCTGGACCTTTGGCCCTGCTACACCATGTCCCATGGCAGCAAGGTGGTGGGTGTATCACCAGGCACGCCGGTGCGGGACTACACACAGGAGGGTCGTCAGTATTCCTTGGATTTTACCTCTCCCTCGCTGTTGAGTCCATTTTGCATTGCTATAAAGGAGCACCTGAGACCGGCTGATTCACAGAGAAAAGAGGTTTATTTGGCTCCGGGTTCTGCAGGCCGTTCAAGAAACATGGCGCCAGCAGCTGCTACTGCTGAGGGCTTCGGGGAGCTTCCAGTCAAGTTGGAGGGTGAAAGGTGGGGGGACAGGCGTGTCCCATGGCTCGAGAAAGGAGCAAAAGAGGGAGCAGGCGGCACCACGTTCTGTCCTGTAAACTCATTATCTCAGGGTGGGCACCAAGCCGTTCATGAGGGATCCACCCTGTGACCCAAACAGACCCACGTTCGACATGGGCTCAGTGTCAACATGAGATTGGGAGGGACAGGGCATCCAAACCATATCACTTGCGTTACTTTCAGTGATGCCCTTGGTTTTCCTTTGTGTCGGCATTTTGGGTCTGGCTTTTGCAGTCCCCAAATTTCCATGTGAGGTTTCTTCTGGCCTCTGATTCGTGACCCATCAGTCCTAAATCTCCCGATTTTTATCACGCCCCACGCCCACCCAGAGATTGCTTCATTGTCCAGCCTCCCCACCCTCCTCTACCTTAGTACCCCTGATGAGGCGTTTTTCTCCTAGTGACTTGCCTATGGGTGATAAGACACTGTCCCAACTCCAGATACGCAGTCCAACAGCTGGACTGCCCCGGCTTGAAGAGCACGTCTAGGAGCGGTGTGGACTTGGGGCTCCGGGTTCACCTGTCCTGGTCCTGGCTTCACAACGCCCTGCTAGTGCTGTCAGCCGCTGTGGCCACCTGTGCACAGTGGTCTCGAGGTCCCTCGTGTGAGTCGTCTTAGCCTGGAGTGGGCTATGACACGCATTTTATGGAGAGTGCAATTTCACACTTTGTAGGTGTCACCTCTCATCAGTGGAGTCCCACCTGCAGGGACGCTCCCCTGAGCAGGCACGTGGGCGATGCTATTTTTGCCCCTTATTTTCACGGGAAGACCAGGCGCAGAGGCTGCCCCGAGGCCACCATCGAAACAGAGACACAGCCAGAAGAGGGAGGTCCAGGTGGCGAGACCAGGGAAGCTCTGTGAGGATGGGGTCTGCTGGGTGTGGAAAGCCGCTGACAGTACTTGAGGCGTCCAATTCCACAGCACAGTCCGGAACCCTGGGGTTCCACTCGCCCCGTTTGTAGATGGCTCCCAGAGCGAGGTGGCTTTTTGAGAACCCTGAGTACTCACTCTCTCTACACAGAAGTCTGAATTCACCAAGTACAGACTGGGGACTGTGCACAGTACCGTCTACATCAGCCCACTTCTAGAAGAGGGAAAGTGAGGCGCTGCATTCTGGGAAGGGGACCCAAATGGGAACCCTGAACGTGGCAGCTTCCTTCCTGGCCAGGCGGGAGTCAGGGCTCCCGGCCCAGGGACCATGATCAGGGCCCCACGCAGGCATCCTGCCTCCAGGGCAAGGGTGCAGGTCAGCAGGGACACAGCTGGGTGAGTGGCCAGTTCCCTCTGTTCCATCAGTTTTCTCATCAGCAAAAATGGGGCCATCCTGGTTAGTGGTGAGATAATGCACAGCAGAGCGGCCCCTTCTTCAGAGAGCTTTGGGTATCGGCGTAGGCCTGAGACCACAGGGCCAAGCCTGGAAAAGCCAGTCCCCTGCCCTGGCCTCCCTCCCTATCTCTGTGCAGCATGCAGAGGGTCCACAAGAACAGGGACTCAGTGTGGGACTGCCCTGTGGCCAGGACCCGTGCCGTGGGATCGCTCACCCCCACCCCACTGCAGAGATGAGGGTTTTCTTAGCAGCCGGAGGCTGGAATGAATGCTAATTTTGCAATAAATCCATCTGAATTTAATTTTCTGAACATAAGAGCCCTACTGAATAACTTGTTCATGCATTTGTAAATACTGATAATATTGTGAAAGGCCCAGCTATCTGGCGGTCTATTGAGTGCCTCCTCAGCGTGGAGGTAATCCTGGCCCATCCATATTCATGGCCAATTAGCAATTAGCAGCTCCTGCAAGCCGGTGCTGCTTTCTCTCCTCCAGCTTGGGGCTGGTTCTGAGCCAGGCTTGAGCTCCTTTCAGTCTTTGGGTGTCCACGGCCTTGAAGCACCACCTGTCCCCACTGTGTAGTGTGAATTTTATGCGTCACGTCAGTGGAGCCTTGGGACCATCCTGTGTTGTCATCTTGAATCAGGGAGGGTTGGGCAACTGGTCCTTGAGTTCCGTGCACGCAGCTGCAGCTCATCCTGGAGAGGCCGCCGCAAAGCATGCAGGATTCAGGTGTGACCCACTCTCTGGACAAGACTCCCCCTGGGCCAGGGTAGGGGCTTGGAAGGCAGAGGGCCCAGAGAAGTGCCAGAGTCCATCCCAGTGTGGCACCCTGGGGAGGACTCAGCGCCATACCTACAACACGTGTTCACGTGAAGTCTGGTTTGTAAGTTTGCTACCTCTTATAGTTCACAATGTTGAGCATCGGGGTTGCCGTGTGAGATGCGGGAATGCTAAGTGGTGCAGTCTCGACAGCGAGCACCTGAGAGCAGGGAGACGGCACAGCACCATGAGGGGACTTGTTGGGACAGGACTAGAATGAACAAAGGCCCCAAGAAGGGGTGGAGGGAGGAAGGCGCTCTAGGGCAGGGCGAGTGCAGGAGCCGGGACAGCAGGTGGGACAGGGGCTTCTGTGCCCTCCCCCAGTGCCGCACTTCTCAGCCTAACGCCTGCGACGACGCAGCCCCCGTGGCAAGGGGCTTTGCCTTCTTGTCCTCCTTCAAGAGCTACAACTCGTCAGCTGAGGGCTGGTGGCCCAGCAGCCCCGGCTCCACCCTGTGGGAGAAGCTCTCCAGGCCCTGGCGAGAAGTCAGCCGAGCGGGAGTGTGTGTGGGTGGGAGGCAGCCGACGCAGGGAAGGCAGGTATGGCACGTGTACCCCTAAAAGCCAGGGGCCTCAGAGGGAGGCTCTCAAGTGCTGTAGTGACTGGGGAACATCACCTCGCCTCTCTGGTGCCTTCTTCTGCTATAAATAGTTCAGCGTAGATGATAAAGTCTCCTTCCTGAACGCCCAGGGCTGTGGGAGAGCTCCCTAGGGGGCCTATAAGACGCTCAGGCCAGGGGGTTGGATGGCACCCGGAAGTGGCACCCACCACAGGCCACAGCACCGTGTCCGTTGAACCTCAGGGGTCTCTGTGCATCAACCAGGCAGGCTCCTGCCGCTGCCAGTGGCCTCAGCAGGGCTCATGTGGGCTCGTGCCCTAGGAGCTGGTGTCCTGAGCCTGCGTCCAGGTGACCCGGGAGGAAGCAAGAGGGCTTTTCTTGGCTCCTGACAATTACATCCCTGGCCGTGGGTTCTGAGAAGGGTTGTGGAGATTCCCACGTGCCGGGCAGATGGAGTGATGGCACAGCAGCTGCTGTGATCCACCTAAGTAAATAAATGCCGTAGTATAAATCCGTTTCCCAAGGCCACATTGCACGTGTAAACTTCCAATTCAGAATTCAGCTCCAGATACGCCCTCTGTCTTTGCTGGCCGGTCAGGGTAGCCTGCGAAGGACCGGGGAGCTCCAAGTCTGACTCATTTTTCCTTTTAGGAAATCCATAAAAAAAAAATCCTACTTCCTGCCCTCTCCCTTCGTGGCTCGTGACCTTGAACCCCTGAGCATGGCCGGCTCCTGGCGGGCGGCAAGAGCGGGGTGTTGGGGTGTGTGGGGAGGCACAGAGCTGCCCTGGCAGCCGCAGGGGCAGGGTAAGAGGAGCCTGCTCTCCGGAGCGGCCTCGGGCTCCTGGTCTGGTCACGTGCGCAGCCGCAGCCGAGCAGGCCCTGGGGGGACAGAGGCCAGAGGGCCAGGGACTTGGGGGGTCCCAGAAGCAGTTGGGGCCTCGGCGAAGCTGAGTGGGACCTAGGCCGGCAGCCCCAGGGAGAGCTTGGCAGATGTGCCGGGGCCCCCTGGAGGAATGCCAGCAGGGAGGCGGCCCCGGGGAGCAGCAGCGCGAGGGAGAGTGACGCCTCGAGCCGTGCACGCGCAGGCGCACGCGCGGTTGGTGTGGACGCTTCCCAGAGGCAACGGGGAACCTCACGCTCCCGATCCTGATCCCCTCCCTGTCAGCAAGAAGTGAGACTTCCACGAACAAAGAGAAACGGAAGTGGCTGGTGTGTGTGTGTGTAAATTCACCTGGACACGCAAGGGAGGAAGGTGGCGTAGCTTCCTGCGCCCACCACAGGAGAGCGATGACAACGGTGAAGATGACCATAGCAATGCCAGTCGCCATGTGTTGAGTGCTAACTCTGAGCGTGACTCTCCCGAGTGCTGCAGAGGCACTAGTTTAATTCCTGCAGTTAAGGGTTCCTTATCCCCATTGTGCAGAAGGCAAAACTGAGGCACAGAGAGGCTCGGTCATTTGTCCAAGGTCACACAGTGGCTAAGAGATGAAGGGATCCCACCTAGCAATCAGGCTGCACCATGGATGGGGCCTCTCTGTGCTTGGGGGGCCAAGCAGTGGCCCCAGCCCACAGACTGCTCAGCTGTTGGGAGGAGATGGCAGAAGAGACAGAGCCACCGGGCTTGGGACAGGAGGCCTCGGCTCAGTCACCTCTAACTGAGGTTACTGTCACCGTGGCCAAAGGGTAGCTGCCAAGACCCAGTGAGTCGATGCCGCAGGACGGCCCCTTCTATCTGATTGCTTTCCGTGGGAGACTAAGGCCATATAACAGGAATGTTTTTAAGCCTTTAACAAAAGTTAAACATACTTTAAAAAATACAAAAATCTAAATAATGCGTAGCTTCGTCCCAGTCTCACTTCCTTGACAGCAACTATGCTAGTGTGTTAGTGTGTAGCCTTCTTGACCTTCGACCCTCACGCGCACACACCGGGCGGATGACACGGTGCGTCCTGCTCCGAACGCTCCTCCCTCCAGGACGGCGCTCGTGCTGGCACACACGTTCCCCCTCCCACCTCCCACCCCCGTTCTTTTCCAATGGCTGCAGAGCATTCCAGAAGCACAGATGGGCCAGGATGTATCTGGCCGTTCCCCGCTTGGTGAGTATTTGAGTGGTTTCCAGGTTTTCTCCATCACAGGCGACATTCACTGGCAGCCTGAACACAGCACACACCCCCTGCACACGCACCCTGGTGCACACGCGCCCTGGTGCACACGCGCCCCCTCCAGCCTAGAGGCCTAGGAGTGTGGGGGTTTCGGGGTCTGAGGGTGGGTGCCATTTCGTCCTAAAGCAGGAGACCCTCCACCCACACCCCAGAAGGCAGCCGAAGCTGGTGATGGCACCAGTACGAGGACAGGCCCTGCCCTCTGCCTCACCAACCCACGTGCCTTTCTCTCCCTCTTCAGGTACGAGGTGATCTGCCAAAGCTCAGAGCTGGCCAAGGACATCCTGGTGCCCTCCTTCGACCCCAAGAACAAGCACTGTGTGTTTCAAGGTGACCTCCTGCTCTTCAGCTGTGCGGGTGCCCACCCCAGGCACCGGAGGATCTGCCCCTGCAGGGACTTCATCAAAGGCCAGGTGGCTCTCTGTAAAGACTGCCTATAGCGGCCGCCTGCTCAGCCCCGCGCCATGCTGCTGGGACGGACAGGGCGGCAGCCCCATCGGGCAGGGCCAGGGGCAGAATCCATTCAGGGACACTGGCCAGAGCCCGATCTCTCTGGTGGAAGTCTTTGTTTTGGTGTTGCTCTTGTTGTGGTCAGAGCAGCCCAGTGGAGTCTTCGCCAAACAAGAGCAGAGCAGAGACCAGGCGGGGAGTCGGGCTTCTCCCTGGCACGGTGCCATTTCTGTTTCTTGAGGAGCAACCGTGAGGAGACTCCGTGGATGCAGCTGCTCCAGGGTAAAAAGAGAGTCTCGAGAGTCATTTAAAACAAAACAAGAGGAGAGGAATTGAGCTGATTGGAAAGAACTTTGAATTGGGAACATTCCTAAACCCATTAACTTATTTATTTGGGTGGGAGGGAGGGGAACGAGGGAGGGAGAAGAGGCTTAATCACACCTTTCTTCTTTTATTTCTACTGTTAGTCATCCACCTTCACTATACTGTTATTCTGTCTGCTCCGGGTGGGGTGCAGGAGTCGGCAGGGTGTGCCGTGGGGCTGGTGGCATGCTCAAGGACAGCGTGGGGACCTGGCTCCCCAAAGCAGGTGGCAGTAGAGCAAACGAAAATCTTGCTTTGGAAACACAGCCGAACTCTCCAGGGCATTGTTATAGATGGCAGCTAGAGGACAGGCACCCCCGGCATAGGGGGATGTGCCTGTGTTGTCCAGAGAGCCACGCCAAAACAAAAGATGGGGTGGACCCCTTTCTTCCATGTCCCCACCCCCAGGCACATGCCTTGGCCCTAATTTCTGGTTAGAATCCCTTTAGGAAAGAAATGCAGGCTTGGAGGATTGAGGAATTTTGCTACTTTCTGGTAAATTCTCCCTCCCTCCCCGTGCCACTGTGAGGAGAGAAGCAGAGGTGAGGGGCTCGCAAAGCTGCTCTTGGACTTAGCCCCAGAGAGGGTTGTCTTTGAACTGAGATTTGGACAGGGTGAAGTTGGTCCTTAAGAACAACTGGCGGCATGACTGGAGATGGGCCCCTGACAGTGGCCTTGTGTTATGTCCCCTCGGATATCACCAAAATCCAGGGAATGGGCCTCTGGGAGAACACGATGTTGGCTGGGGGGGGGGGGCAGGGCAGCCCAGCGTGAACGAGGCGTGGCGGCTGTCCTGGCTGCTCACCTGTGCGTGCGTCCTGCAAGGGCCGGGAGTCTGGTGCCGGCCCTTCCTTTAGGTGGGATTGTGCTGACAGGGAGGAGCCACTCAGCGGTTGCCCTTGTCACACACATTGGACCCCACCCTCCAACCTGGAGCCCCCGTGCTCTGCCTTGTTGCTGGGCCGGAAAGAGCCTGCCTCTGCCCGGGCCCAGCAGTGAGAAGGGCAGAAATCCAAAGGAAACCTTGCTGGGAGGGGTGAGTTCCTGCCCCCCTGAAGCAGTGCTTCCTTCCACGCTCTGCGTGCGAGTTTGTGGGCTTCCTGTGAAACCCCTGACACCTCCAGGCCAGGGAGAGACGTCCCTCTTCCAGCTCTTGCAGGATGTCCCCGAGAGGAGCTGTCAGCATCATCCAGCCCTTGCAGGGCACCTTGGCTGCTTGGCTCTGTGCTCCGTGCCCGCCCACGGCCCTGCGGTTCCCAGCACCCTGCCTGCCGTCGGCCCGGTGCGGCAAGGTGCAGCCTCTGCCGGGCAGAGCAGAGGGCCACAGCCAGTGGCTGGGAGGGTGTTTGGGGAGTGAGGGAAAGGAAGAATTCTGCTTCATGGCAACCGGGGGAAACGTGGAGCCTTTAAGTCTGGGAAGTTAGGTTCATCTTCCTCCTGGGTTTGTGCCCCGGTGCATGGATAATCCTGAACGTATAGCCAGCCTTTGTCCTTAGGCCCTCAGAGAGGGGCTGGGGAGGAGCACCCGGAGTCTATTCCATCATCACAGGGGCCCGTCGAGACCTGGCTAAGCATAGCCTCTGCCGGGGCCCTGCAACGAGAGGGCAGGCATCCAAAGTACAGAGAGAGTGTGAGTGAGTGAGTGAGTGAGTGTGTGTGTGTGTGTGTGTGTGTGTGTGTGCGCGCGCTTTTAAGCTTCGCAAGGGCAGTTTCCTTCAATAGGAGGGCAGACAGCTGGCATCCTGACTGTGAGGAAGAGCTTTTCCCTGGCATGGGCCACTCGGCTGCACCCTAGAGTGTGGGAATTGGCCGGAGTGCGCAGCCCTGCCTTTCCTGGTCCAGCACCGCCCTCTCCTGGGCGCTTCCGGGATCTCCCAGCACCGAGGCTGGCAGTGCGGACGTTCTGCCAGCAGGGGGCGCCCACGTGCCAAGACTGCTTGCCACGCGGCGCCAGTTTGCGCGGGTTCGCGCACGCGCTTCCTGGAAGGCTGTTTAAATTGCACCGCAGCTAAGGAAGCGGGAAAGTAAAGCTATGTGGTCCCTGCCTGGTGTCCCAGAAGCTGCAGGGATTGTTTGCTGTCCGTCCCTGAGCTCAGGACCTCTCCACCTTCCTGTTCCTCTTTCACAAGGGGTGGGGGTGGGGCGGCCGCTTTGGAGGCAAAGAAATCCACACTCCAGTTGTTAAGGGCATTATCGATAGAGACCAGTAACCCCTAAGCCAGGGGTCCTCAAAGTTTTTAAACGGGGCCAGTTCGCTGTCCCTCAGACCGTTGGAGGGCTGTTGAAGAATGCGGCACACATTCCACACATGTGCACTGTGGGCCCAGGAAGAGTCGGCTGTTAGGCAGGACAGGCAGCGGAGGAAAAACACCCCTCGGGTGGGATATATGTCCTGGCCGGCCGCATATGGCCCACGTGCCGGGCGTAGTTTGAGGACCCCTGCAAATATATGCTGGCTTCCAGGCCTCCTCAGACTTGGTCTAGGTCTGGTCTTGACCCTGAGGAAGAAATTGGGAGAGGAGCTTCCATGTGCCCTGAGTGCATGAGGAGAGGAAGGTGCCCCTGACTGTATGCAGTGGCTTTGCCATAGCTGGTCTTAATAGAATCCTAAACCGGTTTGTAATTGATGACAATGCCACGGGGAGAGAAATTCTAAATCAAGATCAATGTTTTCCTGTGCTATAAACATGCCTTGCCTGGGTTTTGGGATGGTTTTCCCCATTATGATCCTAAGCTCTTAAAAACTTGAAGGAAAACATTTATCTAATTTACTAAGAGAGAGAGCTTTCTTTCAAAAGGTAAATGCTTTCAGGAGTTAAAACTCCTGAAAGGGGAAACACTTCTTTGAAATGCCAGTAAACACCTCATTTATTTCATGTATGCAGTTTGATTTGCACATGTATAAATGGAGATGCTTTTTGCATTGATTGGGTTTTTGTCACTGCTTATTATAGTTTGTGTCTTTGTGTGTTTGGAGATATTAAGAGTCTGGTTTTTTTTTTTTTTCTTTTTTTTTTTGGTTTTTGGCGAAATTTGTTTTCCTAATGAGCTTTTTTTACTTTTCTTCGGGGTTGGTTTTTTGGAATCCGGGTGCTGTTGAAGGACGATAGCAGATGGCTCCAGCTGGGAGACAGGATGTGTCCTTGGGTCGCTGAAGCTGTTCAGGCTGGGCACCAGAAGCGCCCTTCAAGCCCCCTAGGCCACAGAGCGTGCACGTGTGCATACACACACCTCCCCCTCCTTGGGGAGGACACGAAGCCGCGAGAACCCCAGGGAAGGGGCTGGGCTGGCTTCCTCCAGAGCAGCCCACGCCGCCTGCACTGCTTGGCCATGTCTTTGGGTTTGTCTCGGGACGGCTAGTTGCCAGTGTGCTGACAGCCTGTGCTCCCTGCTGCCCGTGGGCTCACTAAGGCGTGGCTACACCAAAGTAGTACAGCATCCTGTGAGCTCAGAAATAATTCGCCTATTTAGTATCATGAAAGGGAAAGAATGTGCACCCCTGCTTTTGTTTCCTTAGTGAATGCAGGATTTAGTGAAGGTGATTACTGGCTTCCCCTCTGGGAGTTAGAGCCTTAGTACAACTCATTGGTAGTGAAGACATAGATGTGATGGATTCGACTGAGAACTGTGTGTGAATAGGTGGGCGTGTGCTTTCTAGAGCAGACCAAGGTGGTTTACCTAGATTATGTATATAATTAGACATCACCACCCTCCCCCATGCCCAAAAATTCTTGATTTTTTTTTTTAAAGTCTATTTTGTTAACGACAGGCTCTGTTGTATGTGTTACTATCCCAAGCCTGGATTGTTTTATTTATTTAAAATATTTTAATTTCCATATTGGCTTTATTCTAATCCCATCCATCGCTGTGGGGCTGCAGAGCATCTTCATGTGACTAGATGGGGGGACATAAATACACTGATACTCATTTAGGAAGCTAGAAATTTCATAAAAGTGAGGGTGAGTTCCTGTTGTTCCTGTTGGCTTCAACATAAAGTGGAAAGCCAAGTTTTTATAGCAAAAGACCAAATTAGCTGTATAGTCTTTGATGCAGAAAAAAAAAAAAATTACCCTAGCTTTCTTAGCACTTAGGGTTTTGTGAGGATTCGATGTTTAGCACAGTGCTGGCACCTAGTGAACCCTAGTAAGTGTTAACTATTGTCGTTATTATTAGTGTTTCATAAAACTTGAGAAAGAGCTGAGCTCACTCCCTACCTGTTGACTCAGAAACAATACCCACATGAAAATATTATTCCACGTTGATTGAATGTCGTAGGAATTACTGGTTTAGAGTGTCCAGGTTCTGTGCCTACCCTGCTGGTTGAAAGTTTACTGTATCCCTCAATGCACTGATCTGAAATTGTGCCAGACTTCAGCCCCCAGTAGAATCAAGGCTGCAACAGTGTGTGTGTAAACTGGCGCTGAGAAGGATAAAGGTGGCCTTTGGTCACACATTGGACCTCACCCCACTGATGTCTTCCAGAACATTCCAGGAGTTTTAAGGAACACTTTTGAGCTGCAAATCAAAACAAGTTCTCTGACACACTGTACCCCTCGAATCCAAGTTAACACTATTTCCTCTGAAATGCAATAAGGAGGCTTTGCTGTGTTGCTCAAGGGGGAAGGAATGACCAACCGCTTGAACGTCCACATTCCCCGGGGTGTCCCTCTGCTGCCCCCTGCTGGCTGGGGCAGCCCCTCTGGGCCTCAGGGATCAGACTGCCAGGCGGGTAGTCCACTTTTCCGCCAAATTATAGGTCGTCCCTGGCCTGTCCCAGAGAAAACCCACCCCCAGCCCATGGGGGAAGCCAGCGGAGGCAGCAGGGCAGCTGTTTTGGCCTCTTTCAGAACAGTTCCTACAGGCTGTTCATGGTTTAATGTTTTCCCAAATCACCTGTATACCAGTTTGCTTTTTGTTTAGGGGGTGGGCATCTCGCCTCTTCCCCGGTGGACTTAAAGTCTTATCTCCTGCCCTATCGTGACACAGCTATGGATAGACTGCAGCTGTGGAACATGGGGAAATTTGCTGGAGTTCAATGTCTTTTTCAAATTCCTTTGGATTTTCTCCGGCTGAATCAGCAGTCTTATAGTCCTACGGATGTAATGGTTAGAATTTACCACCTTCAAAGCATCTCTCTCCATTCCAGATTTTGAGCATCCATAAGACTGTCCCAGACCTCCACAGCTGGGCGGCATGACAAAAGGACGAAGGGGGGGATGTTCTGCTGATGGGGTGCGCAAGGCCATTGTCAGTGGGGGTGGGGGTGAGTGCTCAGAGCATGTGCAGTGCTCGGGGGTCTAAACGCCTTGCCGGGACAGCAGGTCAGGAACCTCAGCGCAGCCTGTCACGCCCGCCACAGCTGAGAGCGAGCAAACCTAGGAGGCATTTTGCTCACTGTCCTGCCCAAGTATTAAGACAATAGCATAACAATTGATGCCAAAGGAGATGGTGATGTCCCTTCTACTGTAGTCGCTGTCACAACCATGATGTCTTTAAGCTAATGGACGTTCGCACCTGTGTCTTCAAACAGATCCTGGTCCAACCATTTTCTACTGTTCACTTCCGGGGTTAAGTAGCGCGGGATTCTGCAACTAAGATGTCTCTGTCCAAATGTACTGTATACTGGCATAGAGAGAGCACTGCTTTGTTTTCCACTGTTGTAGAGAAAACTAGGGAGAACTTTATTTTTCAATAAACTTTTCTTGTGTGACAGGTGGAAGTGATTTCGGGGGCGGGCTGGGTGGGTGCAGGGTCGCCGGTGGGGCCGCTGTCCAGCCGAATCTCACGGTTTGCAGACACGCTGTTTTGAAACTGCTGCTGGCGGGGAGACGGGACGGTGTTTGAGGAGGAGGAGGAGAGGAGGTTTCACTGCCTGGTGTTCGTTCCCTTGTGCCACACCCACCCCTGCTGCTGTCACAGCCCCCTCCCTGCCCTGCGTCCACCTGGAAGGGAGCTGAACTAGAATGTGAACTACTAGACTGATTTTGAGATAAGTACGTGGTACCAGACGTTTAAAAATCTTTCAAAATGGGCTCGTAAAACAGCCCTGAAAGGACTGGGCAGCGAGCCCGTTAGACCTGGAAGGCATTTATAGCTCCCTCAAAAAAAAAAAAAAAACACTTTTAAACCAGCGATCCGTGGACCTGGAGCCCTTGGTTAGGCAAATGCCCTGGCGTCAGAAGTAAGGTCAAATCCTTGCCATGCCAGCAGCTCACGTGTGGGTGACGCTGAAGCCCCCACTCCGTCCCCCATGAGCACGGCCCCTCTGGAGCCCGAGAACCTCCAGGCTGATGACAAAACAGGTGCCAGGTAGTTCACGCAGTGTGGCGGGGAACATAAGTCCTCAAAAAGGTGCCACGGCAACGCCGAGTGCCTCAGTTTGGGGGACGCTACATCATCCCTTCCCCCTCTGAGCTTCCTCGGTGTGTGTTAGATACCAGTGAGAGAACGTGCAGGAAAGAAACCGACAGAAGCCCACGACTGGCAAATCTTCCTTTTTTCCGTGTAACACGTTAACGTCCCATGGAATGTCGCTCAGAGCACTGTTGGGGGGAATCTCACTGGATCAAGGTTCTGTGACCTCAGAGAACAAACTGTCTCCCCTTAGCCAGCCCGGTGGGCGATGGGGCTGGGGTGAGGCCCCGGGAGCAGCTGTGTCCCAGTCCCAGGCAAGACCAGCGTCCCGTACCAGGAAACGAATGGGTGGGGGTGGGCCTGCACCACGGAGGCCACCAGGCCCCTCTGGACAGTCCTCCCAGGGTCTCCACTCCATCCCCCTAGGCACATATGACCTCCTCCTGCCACAGTGGAAAGCCCGCCCACGACGGGACAACCGTGTGTCGGTGCCGCACGGTGACAGTCTGAAAGATGATGGCCTCCCTGTACCGTACAAACAGGTAAAGTTGTTTATTGGTCGGACACTGCTGCCCGGGCGAGCAGCGGTGTGAGAGGTACAGATCCTTGCGGGCTGGGGGGACGTGTGTCTACGGACTCTAAACCTAACGTTACGTAAACCGAAAACGTTTCGTTCCTTACAGAGGAGTAAACCGTCTCTTGCACAGACTGCAATGTATACAGCATTACCACTGAACACAGCATACGGATATATGCATATACCGATAATTATTTATTACAAATAAACCGTAGTCTCACATCTGTCAAAAATGGATCGTGTTTTTCACATGGGTGTTCAGGTTCCGAATGTACGAGAAAGGGTCATGTGCTTATTTAGTTCATCCATGCAAAGCTCATACATATATCACTAAGTACTTTAAAAAATAGAATGGTCTCCTTTTGAACAAATAAATCTGTTTAGGATTAGTAAAACAGTATGAAACTAATGAGATACGGTGATAGGAATTAGGAAGCCATATACTGATGGTTCTGGGTATGTAAAGGGGGGCGAGAGACGGAAGGGCACAGTCTTCCCTTAAAATCTGCCAGGAGAGAAGAGACTTTGGAACTAGGGGGTGGCAGGGCCACACGCAGTCCCCGAGGAGGCGGGTCTGGTCGGTTGCTATCCGTGTCAGGCTCAGAGCACCACAGAAGCCCTCCTGCCGAGCAAAGGTGTATCCTACCCAGGAGAACCGTTTACTCCAGAAAATAGAAAAAAAACATCAGTCCCAGCTGGAGAGGGGAAAGCGTGTCCCCTCCTAAGGGCGTCTGTCCTAACTGTCTGATGGGGGGCAGCGGGGGAGGGGGACAGGGCAGGTCCACCTGCTGGGCAGACCTCGCCCCGTGACGACAGACTGTGAAGGAAAACTCCCAACAAAGAAACTGGATGTTCAGGTAAATATTGGCACCCTCGGCCCACGTGGAAACCTCTGGTCGTCTGGGAGGTCTCACTCGGATGCGCAGCCGCCCACGCCGGGCAGTCACTCAAACATCTCGTAGTGACGCGTCTGCCTCACCCTCGGCACCATGTCGATGAGGAGCCTGCAAAGAGGAGACGGACAGACGAGGTCACCTGGACGCCAGCCCCTCCCCCCACAGCCCTAGGGCGAGAGCCGGGCCGGCCATGGAAGTAGTCGTTTGTATTTTGGGGTTTTTTTCCTGCATTAATTCACATACCATAAAATTCACCCTTTTACTGCATAAAGGAGTGTTTTTTTTTTTTTACCATATTCATGAATTTGTGTAATCACCTATCTTAATTCCAGAGCATTTTTTATCATCCCAAAAAGAAACCCCACACCCACTATGGCAGTCACGCCCCATTTCCCCTCCCTGACACCTAATAATCTACTCTGGGTCTCTGCGGATCTGCCTACTGCAGGTATTTCACATGTAAGGACTCGTACGGGAGGTGGCCTTTTGCGACTAGCTTTCTTCACTTGACAAAACATTGAGGTTCACCCGTGTTGTAGCGAGTGTTAGCATTTCATTCCTTTTTATGGCTGAATAATAGCCCATTGCATGGCTCCTACACATTTATCCATTCATCGGCTAATAGACAGTCGGGTCGTTTCTACCTTTTGCCTGTTATGAATAACATCGTACAAGTTTTCGGTGTGGATGTTACGTTTTCATTCCTCCGCAGCATATCCCAAGGAACGGAATTGCTGGGTCTGATGGCAACTCCACATTTGACATTTTGAGGAACTGCCCGATTGTTCAAAGTAGCAGCACCGTTGTCCATTCCTACCACCAGTGGATTAGGGCTCCAGTGCCTCCACATCCTCACCAACACTTGTGATCGGCCCTCGTTTTGATTATAGCCCTTTTGGTGGGAGACGGGAAGTATTTTAATATTGAGAAGCACGGCAGCCCTTAGAAAGGGCTCTCTCAAAGGCCGGCTCCAGCCTGGGCATTGAATCCAGAGTCAGTGATGCCTACACAGCCCTTCTGCAAGAAGTTCTCTAAATCTGGGGGTGCAGCCTCTGGCCAGGTGGTGCTGCTTGCCCACCCCAAACTGTAGCTGGAGCATCACCCATGTGTGGCGGGGTGCTTTACAAGTGAGGAAGCCACATGAAGGTGCTCGCTGGAGCACCATGCTGACCATTACAGACAGGAAGCAGCATAAATCTTCAGGACATGAAGGGGGTTAAAGGGACCACCATTTAAGTGGATCATAAAGACATCAGACAAAAGTAAAGGAGTTCCTTTGTGCCTTAACAGCCCTACGCCACTTTTTAAAGTCCCTGCCTCGCTTGTGTGCCAGCCATGAGCACACCTGTCCCCTGCTGTCCCCACTTATCCAGTCCCCTGACATCGGTCAGGCTGGGGAGGTGCACAGGTACAAGACTGTGACGGCTAGGGAAGGGGGCTGGGAAAGTGGCACTCCTGGCCTCAGGGACGGCAAAGCTGAAAGCGCAGGGACGTACTTGACCCCGTAGGCAAATATGGTGAGGCCGATCAGCACCCCGATGCTGCCGTCCAGGTACCAGACCGCCGCGTTGTGCTTGAACACTTCCGCACTCAGGAGAATGGAGAAGCCCATCACGCCGCCCACGAGGGAGTTGAAGCCTGCAGAGAGAGCAGAGAGGCTGCGTGGCAGTGCAAAGCAATCTCACTTAGCCACGGAGAAAATGACCCGAGTGCCAGGCGTGCCTCCACACTCCGGAGCAGGTACCGGAAGGAGCGTTGCCCAGAGCTCTTTCACCAGTGATAGCCACCACCTGGATGCCTGTGTAGCACATCATGTCTGCTCATCTGTCACCAGGGACCTCCCAGGATGGAGCTGTCACCCCGCGCCCGTCTGCACCTGCTTTATTCCTCTTCCAAGCACTGATGCCTGTGTGTGGTTCCTCTGGTCCCCGTCCCCACTAGAAGGCAAACTTCCCGAGAGATAGGGGCATGGTTCCCTGTTGACGCCACAGTGCCCACGGCTGTGCCTGCCACTCAGCAGGCATTGCAGTAGGGGGAGACTCAAATCTGTTGAATGTCTGCTGGGCCAACTTCCAAGCTGGGTGTTTTAGATGTGCTGTCACCAATAAACCTTCTCAGTGCCATGAAGGAAACTGTTATCAACCCATCTCACTGACGAGAAAACTAAGTAGAATGACATTAAATAAACTGACGAGGTTATCCGGATTGCTTAGAGTAACCTAAGGGTTTTCCCTCTCTCCGGAGGAGAAACATGAGGTACATGATTTGTAGTAGTATGTGTATTAGCTACATGGCTGGAGAAATGGTCCTATAATAGAAACAGCAATGGAGCTAACAGATATCAATCACCTTCTCCTTTCCCATGTCACCTCCGTAAGTCCCCCCAGCTCACGTACCACACTTCCGTTTTGCCTGTGCATTTGCAAGGCCACAGGGACAGGGAATGGCGTCTGGGGCCTCCCTGTGAAGGGAGGCACCAGGCTGCTCGCCCACCTCAGCATCACAGTGGCCCCTCGAGAAGCTCCAGGTCCCTGGTGCCCTGGCAGCTGGCCTGGGCAGGGCCACCTCCGCTGCAGCTCCAGGCCCCGCTTCCTTCTTGGGGCAACTGTGCCTGTGTGCTCACGCAGTGCTTTTGCTGAACTCAGAAGCCCTAATTCTGGCTACCAGCAAGAAAATCGAGCTCAGAGCACCTGTCTTTCTAGGAAGGGCATCGAGAGGAAGACTGTGGGGCAAGGATGGTCTGAACAAAGCTCAGAAAGAGCCCCGCTCAGAGGACCCAAGGAGGGCCGGCAGTGGGGTGTTCCCCAGTACTGGGGACAGGTGAACCAGGGGCATCTCAGATGTTCTACACCTGTCACCTCAAAGGACTTGCTTCTTGCAACTCTTCCCCCTGTCTCCTGGGTCATCCCTGCCCCCAGGACAAACCTTCAAACTCCTTCCTGGACCCCACCCCAACCCACAGCTCCCTTCCGCCCCTGCCCCCCGCAAAGCCCGCTCACAGGTGTCTGCCTGAGCTGTCTCTGCACACACACACACACACCCGTTCCGCTCAGGCTCCTCCTCCCTGCGCACTCCCTAGCTGTGGCCCCGTGATGCCACATGTGATAGTGACGGGCACCTATGCTACCAGGACTCACTTCTTACGCCCTCCTGTGAGCTCTCCTCTCCAGCCTCACACCCTTCCCGCCTCTGCTCTCCCTGGCTGGACCCCTCTCTGTGTCCCTCTGGGGTTTCCTGGGCTCAGTCCTCTGCCCTGTCCCTCTGTCTGCGCTCTTCTCCAACGCCACCAGCTGGTGTCTCCCACAGTCCTGCGCGGCCCCTCCAGTGCAGGCACTCATGCAGCGTCTCAGACTGAACACGTGCACGGCTCCCGCCCCACCCCTCACCCTCAGCTGCCTTGTCCCCTGCAAGTGGTGCCACCGTCCGCCCAGCTGCCCGGGCCACACACCGAACCCATCAGGTAACTCTTGCTGATGGTCACCTCCACGACTCATCCTCAGTCTCTCTTCCTCCCGCACCCTACTGCCCGGCCCCGGCCCCGGCTCCCCCAGCCCCGGCTCCCCCAGCCCATTCCCCTCGCAGCAGCCAGAGACTCTCTGTCAACGAATGTCTCTATTGCAGATGCCATCTGAACTCTTCACAGCCCCCGCCTCAAGCCCCCTCCTCCTGGTTCATTGTGCTCCAGCCACACATGACCCTGTGCTGGCCACCTGCCCTCCCTGCAAGGCCACCGTCCACCTGGACCCCTCCGCCTCGGGCCCCCCACCAGGCTTCCCTCCAACCCTCCCGCCTCATCCTCCCTGCACTTCATTTCTCTCCGGAGCTTGCCACCATCTAAGAAGCTATTTTTGCCATTTTTTAAAGCCATCTCTCTCACTTACAAGAAACCTAAGCTTAAGGACAGGAACTCTGTGTCTTCCTTGCTGCATCCAAAGTCCCAGAACAGGGCCTGGCACCTATCAGGGACACAGATGACTGCTGCATTAATGCATGAGTTAAAACTGGAGGAGGAGGAGGAAGACAGGCTGGCATGCGGCCCCGCCTTAGCTCTGCTGTCCTGGGGGAGAGAGCTGAGACCGCAGCCACCCCCAGCCAGGAGAGAAGCCGCCCAGCCCAGGCCCTCGGAAAAGATGCAGCGAGAACAACATAAGGTTCCACAGATGGCCACCAGAGGTCAACGCAGCTCCACCATGCCACCACTCTGCCAGCCGATGGCACGTCCCAGCCTGCAGTCCTGACAGCAGGTCCACCCCGGCATGCTCCCCACGCTGCACAGCCAGTGGATTTGTGGCATGTTCACCTGCTCACCTGCATCAGCTAGGAAGGGACTCTTACCTGCTGCGCCTGGCTCACCTGGGAGGTCAGGGCCTGACTCAGTTCACCTTCATTTCTAAAGTACCCACAGGGACTGGGGGGCAATTCCATGGCTGCCCTGCACACCCCTCGGAATTCCAGAGCCTTCCCACGTGAGGGGCCCGAGCCCCCTACCCACGACAGCATGTGGCTCTGCCGGTCACTCACCTCTAGAGTCCAGTCCCCGCAGCTGAGACCACAGAGCTGTTCTAAAGAGCAAACTCTTATCTGTTTAAGAGCATACAATGGCACAAAGCAATGGCTGGGGCCCTCTGGATTAGAGGCCAGCTTTACCAACTAGATCAGAATCTCTGTAATGAGCCACAGTGATTTTATGCAGACTATTCTGATTAAAAAGTTTTTCTTGTGCTTGGAAAATCCTCACAGGCTCTGGGTATTTTAGAGTTGCATGTGAGTGAGAGAACGGGCCCCGCACTTCAAAGGGGGTTGCTGCGCGTGGGACAGCCCCCGGCCCTAGTTCAGCACCTGTCCCCTGGTGCCCTCCCACCATCTTCCTCTGTCTGACTGACTGTGTTAATTTGTTGTGCAAAGTCATTCTGCCTTAAATAATACAAAGCAAGCTTCAGCCTGGTCAAGCAATAAACGAGTGTTGACTAAATAGCCAAAGCAACAAAACCAAACAAGACAAGGGTTACCGTGTGGCATGGCACAGAGTGGGGAAGTCTGGATGACCCACAGTCCCTGCCATCCTCGGCCTGCTGCCCCCTTTCCCTGCGATCTGCTTCCTGGCTGTGAGGACACACGCCAGCAGCAGAGGCAGCGCCAGAGGCCACCTGGCCCAGTTCACACACAGCCCTGGCTCAGGAACGCCCTGTGCCCAGCTCGCTTCCCTCCTGCAGAGAAGGTGCTGGCTCTGCCCCAGCCAGGCTGGCAGCCACGGGGACAGGACGCACTCCAGAGCCCCATCCTGCCCCGCCCACCTCCCAGAGTGAGGAAAGAACAGAGAGAGGATAATTAGATTGTTCCCTAGTTCTGCTCATCAATGAATGAGTAAAGCTCAGATCCCAGATGACACAATTAGCAGAAAGTTGCAATTACTGCCAAATATTTTGCCAACAACACCCCCAAGCAGGGATTGCAGGGCACGCCAAGCACAGGGTAACAGGCTGGGGGGAGAGGGTGCTGCCTCTGCCCTTTGGAACAGCACTGTCTCTCTGGCAGTCGCCTCCAACCCTCAGGGCAGAGTCAGCCCCAGCAGCCCAGGGAGAAAAGCGGCATCTTGCAAGGGAAGACACAAATAGCAGGCCCTGCTGGACACAGCAGGGTCCTCCTGCCCTGGGGTGACACTGGGCCCAGCCTCATTGTGCACACAATGAGGTGGGGCCCCCAGGGTCTGGAGCCCCACCTCAATGCCCCGGAACCAGAATCTTCAGGGGTGAGCCCCAGAAATCCGGGTTTTTAACACACACCCCAAGCAGTTTTGGTGCTGCCAGCATGGTGGTGGTCAACTGACTAGCATCTGGGGTCCCCTCGTTTTGCAGCCTGGATGTCAGGCTGTGTAAATCCCCAACTTCTTCAGGCCTGTTCAGATGAACCCTTCCACATCTGTGCACACAGGTGATGCTCTGCCCCAGGCAGCCATGGTTAAAAAGCTGGAGGCCTTCCCCAGAGACACCGTAGCTGGCTCAAGTGTGGCGAGTGGGGGGCATAGGCACTACCAGCTCCTGGTCAAGGACCGCCAGCCTGCGCATCAGGGGCTGCAGACCTCCCTCTGCCCTGGACTGGCCCATATCTGCCAGCAGCTCTGCCCGCCTCTGCAGATGGAGTCTCGGCCCGAGCTCAGTCCCAGGGTGGAAGCATCGCGTTGACGTTCTGTCCCCCACCACGCTGCAAAGTCCAGCTCCGTGCCTGGCAGGCCTCGGCACAGGAGGAGACAAGGAGCCTACATGCTGTCACCATGCTCTGTCACCTGGGAGTTCACACATTCCACATATGAACGAACCTTGAGAGTTGGAGATGGGGGAGTGTTCTCTTGAAAAAAGAATCCAATTATTTCTGCTCTGTTTTGCGCCAATGTGCCCACCCACCCACAAGCTTTTATGCTATGACCACCCCCCACTTTACTGCTGACTCCCCCTGGACTCGGCACGTGCTCAGGAATGACTAAAAATAAAATGGCCAGGTGGCACTGTTTGTCAAGTGTCTTCATTATAGGTCAATGCCAGTTTGGGGCCTGAAACACTCTTTTCCTGTGAAGGAGCTCAGGAAATTTCACCCCAAAATATGACTCCTTGATACAGAGTATTTTGAATTAAAGGTCCTCAGAGATCAAGCAGGAGTTTTTCCCTCCATTGACATAAAGCCAGACCCATCAAAAGAACAATCACTTCCCTTCCCCTTCCTGTTATCTCAATATATTACAGGAAAGAAGATCAAGAATGCAACAGACCTGGCCCAAATCATTCTAAATATAATACTTGCCTCTCAAGTTTAGTTTCCAAAAAGAATCATTTATAAATCAATCTATTCCCCCCACCATCCATTCATTCTCCCAAATATCTATTCATCCTCCCTAGTAACCATTTATGGCCCCTAAACAGAACTACTTATATTCCTCATCTCCCCTTCCCTTTATAGATCCTCTAAAATGAGTTCCCCATTAGGATATGAGGTAATCACTCTGTGATTCTCCCCATGGGCATGGTAAATAAATCTCTTTCTCTTATTAATCTGCCTTATTGTGAGTTGACCTTTTGGGGGAAGTTTCCCCTCACCCCCATACCTGCATGCCCACACCCTTCTTCTCTCTGTCATCCCTAAGCCCACACAGGAAGCTCCTCTGCAGTCCCAGGGACACACAGGGACTTTCCTAGCTGGCTGGGACTCTAAGCAGAGAACACACGGGACGGTTTCCCCAGTGCGGGCACCTGGTAATAGCAACCTCAACTCCCAGGTGAGCATGTACTAGCTGGAAGGAAAAACAAGCACGGAGAATTCACAAAGGATACATTTATAGACTCCAGAAAAGGCATTTACTTGTTATGCAATGCACGTAAGACCCAAGACTCCAGGAAGCCCTTTGTGCTTCATGATTAAGAGGCTGGGGAGCCCCAATCCCCCCGCCCCCATTAGTAGGTTAGAGATATTCACGGAGAGTTTATTAAACTCCCAGGGCATATGACATCTGCCCTGATATGGAAGCCCTGAGAATCATTAAACAGGAGGAGGGGTTGGTGAGGATAGATTCTAAATCACTGAGTTCCTGCAAGACAAGCAGCTAAAAGTGACTCAAACAGCACCTTCCCTAACTATGAGCTCGGCCCCCTGAGATCAGGCACACCGGCCTTACTCACCATCTGTTATGAGTGCTCTGCTGGTCAGAACCTTCCCCAGCATGAACTTCAACACGGCCAGGATGCTGCAAAGAATCCCACTTAAAATGGAGACGCTGAACAGGAAATCGTCCTAGAAGAGAAAGTTCCAGATTTCAACAGTTCACCTCCTGCTATAGCAGATCATCTGCAAACCACTTGCCTTAGAGATCAGCTTCATTCCAAGTACAAATAATCAGTCGGGTATGCTGCCACTAGGTGGGGGTGTGCTGCACGCTTACACACCTCAGTTACGTGTGTCACTGGGAATTAGAAAAAGTGATCGGAAACAGATAATCTCCATTTACATTCATTTGGAAAACCATTATGCATTTCTTTTCCTGTAGGAGATTCACCTTCCCAATATTCTGCTAAAATGAGTGGCAATCATTGATCAATAACAGAGTAGTCAGAACGCTAAGAACAGTGTCTTCTAAACAGAGTTTTCCACAAAGAATTCACAAAGCAGTTGATTCAGAATTTTGGAACATAAGTACACCATTGGCCTAAACACTCAATACAGAGCCAGCTGAATTTGCTGCAGGGTCAACAATGGCCGGAGCTACTTCAACCCGTATTTTTTTTTTTTTCTTAAATTCACACAAAGCAAATGAGAACTCAAATATACCCTTCAGGGTAGGGAAAACGGCATCTAAAAATATAGTCTGCTATTGACGTTATCTTAACACTTCCTGTAACTGTTACCTTACCTTTGCGAGCAAAAGTGAGTCACATACACAAAAGCCCCATCTCCTGACATCACGGCCCATCCAGCTCTGCTCCCGTGTGTCACTCCATGCCACTCAGCCTCCAGACTTTGCAACATTAAAATGCAACTGCCAGCAGGAATCTGACCCAGCGTCATATATACGCAAAGAAACAGGATTCTCCTTCGGCATTTTATTAATCAAATTCAATAACCTCACGGAGGAACCCAAGGAAGGCAGCCTGTTTGCCTGCGCTGGACACTGAGCAAAGTCATTTGAAAAATCACCTCACTGGAAACAGGATATCCGTATAGTGTCAAAGCATATCCCCCAGATACTGATCAATGGCAATCGTGGTTCTAACAACACGTCCACAAATGCTTTGCTACTCTTCCTCCATGAGGTGGAGATTAATCTTCCCCCCATCCCCTGCCCTTCAGTACGGGCTGGACTTGGTGACTCAAATCTAACAAATACAGTACAGAATGTCGTAATTTCACAGTGGAAAAACCCAGCAGACACCACTGTAGCCAAGTGGTCAAGGTTAACAGTGCCACTGATAAGTTGTGCTGACCTCACATGCCCCTGGATATGATGTGATAAGAAGGGCACTTCACCTCCTTGGTATTCTACCACCAAATCCATAACCTCAGCTTAACTGTGAAAATAACATCAAACAAACCCAAACTGAGGGGCAGTCTACAAAATACCTGACCACTACTCTTCACATGTCAAGGTCATGAGAGACAAGGAAGGACCAAGAAACTGTCACAGACTGGAGACTTAAGAAGATGTGACAACTAAATGCAACATGGTGTCCCAGACTGGATCCTGGAACAGAAAAAGGTCATCAGTGGGAAACCAAGGCAATCAGAAGAGAGCGTATAGTTTTGTTAGTTGTGCTGTGATCGCATAGCGTCCGGCTGAGCCGCGGGCTCACGCTGGCGAGGGGCAGGCACCTGCTGGATCCCCTCCTTCCGCTTCTCCGTGTCCTGAGCCAGGCGTGCGTACAGCTCCTTGTGCAGGTCACCCGTGTCTTGGGCAGAGGCGGGTCCCGGCCGTCCTCATGGGCACAGCTCATGCTTGCCCTCCACTCCACGCCCAGGTCTCCTGCTGCCTGCCCTGCCGACTCCGGTCCAATGCCAGATGCCAAGGCACCAGCCTGACAAGGACACCTTCACCTGCAACCACTGTCGTGTGAGGTCCCACCCCTGCCATGAACCCCTTAATTCTGTATCACAGCGGCCTGTTCCTCTGCTTGAACCCTGACATCTGATTTCACAAGCACACGTCCAAGGGCTTAAACAGTGCCCAGCACGGAGTGAATGCTACACAAGTATTCGAAAGCTAAGTTTTTTAAATGTGGAAAAGCCAATATGCAAAAGGCGGGTTTTTCCTGTACATGGATTACTTCTACCAACCACCCTCTGCTCTCTGGACCAGCTCTGAAAAAACAACTACTGTCCCCTGTGGGAGAACAGAGACTGAGGCCACCTCGGAGTCTCACCCAGAGTGCAGGGGATGGCTCTACACTGCTGAGCTGATCTGCCTCCAAATAAAATGAAGCCTGCAGAAGAGCCAGCGAGGGCCTGGGCTGGCTCAGACCTGCTGAAGCCCCTCTCCTGAAACCAGCTTTCAAGGTCCTAGAAGCTCTGTGATTTCCCCACCCAGAGCCCGGCCGGCTCCGCTGGGGGGCAGGCACTCCTCTCTCCACTCAGTTCTCCACATCAACCGTCAGGACGAGCATAACGTCACAGAGATGTAGTCATCAGCCTGCTCAAGTTATCAGCCCCTGTTATGGACTAGATGCCTGGGTTCTCCCCGAATCCACATGTTGAAGTCCTACCTCCCCCAACATGACGGTATTTGGAGATGGGGCCTTTGGAAGATAATTAGGGTTAGATTAGGCAGGGGGCTTCATAATGAGACTAGTGCCCTTATAGGAAGGAAAGAGAAGAGCTCTCTCTTTCTTCCCCTCCACGCCCCACTACCATGCACCAAGGAGGGGCCACGTGAGGACACAGAGAGAAGGTGGCCAACTCAAGGAAAGATGCCTCACCAGACACTGACTCTGCTGGCACCTTGATCTTGAACTTCCAGTCTCCAGAACTGTGAGGAATACATTCCTGTTGTTTAAGCCATCCAGGCAATGGCATCTGTCTCTGGCAGCCCGAGCTAAGACAACCTCCAAGTTTAATCAAAGAAGTGGTTTCCGGGAGGACTCCTTCTCGAGAGAGTCAGGAAGCCAGAGCAGACATGGCTCATGATGCGAAATTGCAACCCTTGTAGGTAGGCACCACTGATGACGACCTGCAGTGCGGCCACACCTGTCATCTCACTTAGGTCTCAGACCCGTGTTGAGCGGGCATCTGACAGATGCAAAACAGATGCGGAGAGGCTAAATGATTTGCCCACGGTCACTCTGCTAGTGGCAGGACCTGGAATGGTTCCCAGCTGTAAACTGTAGCAGGATACTTCATCTATGGCCTCTCTTATGTCCCTAAACCATGGACTCTGTGAAAATAGAGACAGCCATTTTCTTGCTAGGTCTTCTGTTCCCACTCTTACCAGCACTGGATCTGTAGTTTCTCACAGTCGGATCTTCACTGAATGATAAAAAATTCAGACAAAAATTATTTAAGGAAATTAGCCACTCATTCAGAGCTAAGGATAAATGTTCATTAAAGGTAAACTCTACATGAATTATGTCCATGCTGGCAGGCTCCTTTAAGACCTTGTAGTGGTGAAGGCCCTTTATAAACATCTCAAAAGCCATAAAAGTTTGATATCCTTGGTAATATAAAAATTAAAACATATGTAGGGGAAAGGTCATATTCAATACTAGGGCAAACATAACAAAGGGTTAATCTCCTTATTATATAAAGGGCTCATAGAAATCTACAAGAAAAAGACCAACAAATAATAGAAAATGGATAAAAGGCAAAACACAGTTAAAAATAAAATGATTTTTAAGCATATGAAAGAAGCTCGAACTCACTCATAAAAGAAATGAAAATTAAAACTACAGTAAGATCTTTTTTACCTACCCAAAAGTATTACAAAGCTATGAGAAAACAGACTGTCGTACAAATCTGGTGGCAGTGAAAAATGGTACAATGTGTATGCAGAGCAATTTGGAAATTTCTCTGAAAAGTACAAATCTACCCTTTGAACAAACCATCCACAAGTATACATCCACTATGTATACTTATCTTACTGCTATACCTGTACATGTATGAAAATGATGCTACATACAGGAGTATTCACTGACAAATCCAAAATTAAAGATGAAGATTGTAACACTTCTCTCTGGGTAATTAAGAGAATAAATTGACAGAAAATCAATAAGCATACAGAAGACCTCAAAAACACTATCAACCAACTTGGCCTGACATTTGTGAAACACCTAGCCTACAAGGGCAGGACACATATTCTTTTTAAATGTACATGGGATATTCATCAATGTAGACCACATTCTATGCCATTAAACAGATCTCAACCAATAAAAAAAATGGAAATCATACAAAGTATATTCTCTGACAACAGTGGAATACACTAGAAATCAGTAACAGAATGATAGAATGATTCCACATATTTGAAAATTAAACAACACAACACACTCCTTAAAGGCTCATGATTCAAAGAAGAAATCACTAGGGAAATTAGAAAATATTCTGAAGTAGAAGAAAATGAAAAAACAGCATATTGAAATTAGTGGCATGCAGCAAAAGTAGTGTTTAGAGGGAAATTTCTAGTAAATGATTTATAAGAAAATATTTAAAGGCCTAAAATCAATGATCTAAAGCTTTCCTTTTAAGAAAGAATTAAGAGAAAATCACATTAATCCCAAAGGAAAAGGAAAGAATAAACATATGAACATAAATGAATGAAAATGGATAAACAATAATGAAAAATTAAAACCAAAAAGATCTTTAAAGATCAATAACATTAGATAAACTTCTAAGACTTATCTACAAAAAAAGAAGACACAAGTTAACAATATCAGGAATGACAGAAGGCACATACTACAGATATAACAGATCTATAAAGAGGATAATAAAGAAATGTAGCCAACTTTATGCCAATAAACTTGAAAATTTAGAAGAAATGGACAAACCTTTATTCAAGAAGATATAGAAAACCTGAAGAGCCTTGTATCAATTAAAGATACTGAATTTCTAGTTAAAACTCTTCTCACAAAACTTTAGGCCGCAATGGCTTTACTCATGAATTCTACCAAACCTTTAATCATTTAAGGAAGAAATAATACCAATTCTAAAACAAACTCTTCTAGAATATGAATGAAGAAGAAATAATTCCCAATTCATTTCTGAAGCCAGCATTACCATGACACTAAAACCAAAGCATTGCAAGAAAACTACAGACC